AGGCTACTATCGGGGTGATCTCAATTCGTGGTGCAAGCGAGGCCGCAAATCGAGAAGTCTACCGTATTCTTGTTTGGGTGCAGTCACACCATGTCCATCTCGTGTGGGGATTGTAACCCCGTAACAGCAAAAGTTAAATGCGTAAGTAAATTGTCCGTGGTAGCTTTTAATCGAAGCGGTGATCCGGCTGCAACAGGGGGTTGCCACGCACTCTAATATAATGAATTTTGCACGTAGTCCGCTTATACCCGCTCTATTTCTCTGTTTTAGTAGATACTAAAATCTAGTATCCATAGTTTATGTATTATTGCATGAGGCTAGCAGTCGATGTGGCTCACGAACCTTATCTTCATATAGAGTCATCCTACCCATCATGTAACTCATCATGGGTTCATGACGATACTTCACCATGGCACTTCCAAGTATCGGTGAAAGTCCTTGGGATAACAATGTCGCTACATTCGTTACCACAACACTTCGCTATACTGACCAACTACTTGCACAAACAAATCTCATACTGTGCCAACATGGCACGATCTCTCGCACATTTAATTTAAAAGAAGGTCAAATGGCAATGGGTGCAACAGAAGTGTCGGCCTTCTATCCTGTCAACGAAAGCCTTGACCGAAACTGGATTCTGTTCATTCCGCATCTAGACCAGTCGGATGTGACTTAAGAAACTATAAAGCCCATGTCAAAGACTTATTCTTGTAAAATTGCTTTTTTTCAAGTTCAGCTCAAAGGGACCTGTGACCTATAAGGATTATGCATATTGACATCGTGATAGAGAGGTTGAATAACTATTCCTCTGTGACGAGCATACCTATAAAGGGGAATAAGAGTTTGGTCCGACTAATGTGTTGACGAACGTCATTTTGCTTTGCCCCAAAGATGGGCTGTTTAATATTTCATTGCTGACATCAAGCATCGACGATGCCATCCGTACGGCGTAAACATGATATACAGCTTGTGTTGCTCCTTTGACAGCTATAGGTAGCAAAAAAGCTATACTTCTTACAAACATGGCTTGACGCACAATGTGCGGTTGTGCCTCATCATAAGAATCATATATTAAGAATATATGTATCCGTAAGGAGCACATAATCTGTTGGTTGTGGTGACGCAGCTGCTTAACCCGGTACAACGGTTTACCTTGGTCGCTGTTGTGGCTGTGGTGTTCTAAGGTCTGCATTTTGTGTGTCAGTTCTTTTTGTTTGATGCTATTACAATCTGATGTTTAGTTTTTCTTTATCTATGCAAAACGAAACCTCATGATGGAGATTTGATTTAAACGTCCCTTTTAAGGCACTGTAGGGTGAAATTTATATCTTCCGAAGCGCCGGGTCGAAACTACTTATGAGGGATAAGTCGTGTGATCGCCGTAGTTAAATTGGAGTAATATGATGTTGTTTCGATGCAAATTTTTCGGGTTTACATAGGTTATAAGTTTAGGTGCTCCAGTGTCACGCAATTTTGCCCGAAGAGTTTTATTTAAAACTCCTTTCAAGTGAGTCTGTCGCCGACGACCATACGCTCAAAATTTCTGCAATTAAACTTGCAGTGGGTTCATAACCCGGGTAGCCTATTATATTCACTCAAGTTCTTGTGCAACATATTGAATACTTAAGTAATAAGTAAACGAGTGTTGTTTTGTCATGTTCGCTGCAATCAGAAAATCAACGTAAAATACGTGATGAATACGAAACTCCAAATTGTGAGGTGGCTGCTCAGACAAAGGGCTTTGACACGTGCATAAGATGAGCACCAGCTCAAACGTCGAGTTTAAGTCGTCAAACCTAACTTCATGTCAGAGTGGCGCATGGTGTTTGAGCACAAAATGACAGAACAATAGTCTTCCAAGATTTATCTAAATCTCTGAACAATGTATTCCAGTCTCAGATGTCACTGCAAAATTAGTCTGATGAAGAAGTTAGTATAAAATACGGTCTCAAAACTTCGTGAAATTTGTGAACAGAAATTTTGTACTCAACGAGGAGCACTTCTGTCGACGATCATAAATAGCAAAAGCAAAGAAAGAAAGCCTAAGACCTCTCGACAGTGGGTACATCAACCAAGCCGCTTCTCCTCAACCGCACGATAGTATCGCAACACTTTTTCAAGTAGCACTTCAGCTTCGTTGTCCTGCCCGCTCAGCTTTTCTTTTTCCTCTCTTGCTAGACGACACTCGAGACGAAACTCGTCTAAACGCTGATCCACGTACATTAGCGAAAAATATACGCCATTCGTCTTTACATGCACTTTTAATTTCACACCAAATGCTTTTACGTGCATTTCCGGTGGAGCTGTCTCACGTAGCATTACTTTCGTGTCAAAAATGTTGCCATCATCTGAAGTCGAGATGTGGAGGTGGCGCTGAATATCGGCTGCTTCGTCATGAGATATCTTTTCGCGGGTAACAGCTCGTATGCGAAGAGAAGCATCGTTTTCCAGTACCACGTCGTAGGTGCCGCATACATATCTTCGGCTATAGCTTTGATGCAAATTCCATTGGCCCTTTTCGAGATGATACTTTAAGTCGTAAGAAATGCCTTGGTATCCAGCAAGATGTACTGACATATACTTTTGTGGCTCTTCCCCCTTTTCCATCCACTGTTCTAGGGTATCCATCAAATTTGCGATTGATGACGATGATCGTCGATTGCAGTAATTGGACCAACGAGTCTGAAAATCTTTATGTTGTCGAAACTTTTGCAGCTCAGGCCAGCCGATTGCTGAGTTCTCGCAGCGAAAAGAAAGAAGTTTAAAACAGAGACTTCCAAAAGCAATCCTGATCTTGGGCTCGGATCCTGACAATTGCAGGTATTTCATGACATTTCTAATATCGTCCTGGCGAAAATCCTGGACCCACGAGTCAGTTATACTTTCAGTTTCTGCTGCTCGTCCTGACTGCTGCAGGCGGTATTGATACTTCTGGACTTGCTCGTCGCTCGTCCTCTCCTTGGTCTTTTTAAATGACCACCAATAAAGTGGTCCATTTTGAACAAAGACCTCAAAAACTCGCTTTTCGACTGGTTTCGAAATTGCAAAGGATGTAAATAAATGCGTAAGCTCGTCTTCTGCATTTTTTATGCCGTTCTCCGGTCCTATAAGCGTCACCTCTCGATCATGGCAATCTACAGAACACCGAACATTGTGATGGTCTCGAAGTGCTTTACAGTAGCTCCCACCCTTGCCGATGACAGCACCCACTGGGACGTGGTCAGGAATACTTAAATGCTTAGTTTGGCTCCAACGATGAAAATCCATTCTTTCTCAAGAACAAGCTAATAACAAAGTGAACTAACAATCAACTTCGTGGCGCAATTTTTTGCTTCGTTGGATGGACCCGTTTCAACTGGGGGATCAACTGCCTGAGACGATGCAAAAAATACTAGTCAATCTTTCCACAATGATCAAGTCATGGAAAATGCGGATAGAATGATGGACAGCGATATTTGTCACAGATGCAATTAATTTATAATAATAGTTAGTATAAAATTCTTAGCATGCGCACTGCCAGTGTCACTATGGATTGACGTCAAAGAAAAGTATAACTGTTGTATATTCATTGCTTATCATGTGTAAGAGTGTCTAATGCTGTCAGACAACTACTCGCGTTCATTTTTGGCGAGAAGATGTAAGAGCTGTAACCAGATGTAGGTAGTAGTATCATAGCGCACACATTTGTCAGAAACAGCGTATAATTTTCTTTCAAATTTTTGGAATAAGAGCGAGTCTCATTCTGTTGGTGTTGCCTTAAATCTAATGACTCTCCAGGGCAAAGTATTACTCGTGACGCGGTTGCAGGACACAGCTTCTGCGATACAGCAGCTTAAGCAATTACACCCGCAGATTCTAGACGTGACGGTTCTCACCGTGACCAAGGGATCAGATCTGGCGCAGCCTCTGACCAACACTGCCACCGACAAGAGCAATGTGTTTGATGCCGTCGTGTCTTTTAATGAGCAATTGGATCAGCTCAGTACCGAGCTGGCTGCGATATCACCGCTGCTTATTATCGGTGGTTCATTGCAGCTATTTGTGTCTAGAGCGCATGACGACAAAAAGGATGCAATTGTCATGGATTTGATGATAGGTGGATTTGTTGACATTGCTGACAAGTATGAGAGTAGCCCTCTTTTTCCGGAGTTCTCGGGTGCTGTCTGCTTTTCAGGGAAGAAACAGACATTTGACAGTGCTGCAATCCCCCTTGCGAGGAAAACGATGGCGACTCAATTCATAAAGAAATGGACCGTTGTGCCGGACGAAACTAGTGGTTACGAGCAGGACGACGACATAATTGATGAAGACACCCTTCTCGACAACACAGACGAAGTCTTGCAGGCAGCCAAGGTAGATTGTAACGAGGTTACTGGTGGAAAGAAGCGTGCGTGCAAAAACTGCACTTGCGGGTATAGTCACATCGCTCTTGTGTTGCAATGGATGGATGTGAGTTACTAACGTGATGAAATATAGGCTTAAGGATAAGGAAGACAAGCCAGTGATGTCAGAGAAGGAGTTAAATACACTGGTGTCTGGATGCGGAAATGTAACGTCTTCTTCTGCTCTGTTACCATACCATTTCAGCGTGATTAATGAGACTGTATTTGTGTAGTGCTACAAAGGAGACGCATTTCGCTGCGGTAGCTGTCCATTTTTGGGCAAACCTGCTTTCAAACCTGGCATGGAAAAGGTTCTGCTTAATTTGGACAACTCCGATGATATCTAACTCCATTAACGTAAATGCTTTACGGACCGATATTGCTTGAGCAGTCTGCGAAGTTATACATTTGTTGGTGCATCAATAGCCTAAGTTAATGGCAGTACATTTTACAAATTCGGCTTGCTATATTTCACTTTAAAACCCGAACTAGATCGACGACATGACCATGAAATCAGCCTCGCCTTACCGCATATCAACTAATTGCGCCGAGACTTGTTCCATCCAATTGCATTCAAATGCGTCTGAGTAGATTTTAATATCACTAGGATGAGCGTGAAAACCCGTCATGTTGCAATTTTGAATGAGCTGGAGTCCGCTGGGCTCTGTCAACCTAAACACTCCGACACTTGTAAATCAGAGAAATCGTGTTGGCTGTGGACCCATAAAAATAATCATTGAGCAGCGTGTCCGGTACGTACTTTCTATTTGGATCGCTTGGGGCAACGACAATTGCGACAGCCTTAAGGAGAGTCGACATCAATTAGTTTTTAACTCAGAATCTAATAGGCGAGCCAAATGCATCTACCTCAGGTAAAATCGACTGAAATCCACACTGGGTGTGAACATCGACAGATGACAGAAAACAAGCCTGCTTGGGATGCGTCTATATCGATTAAAAATCCAACAATCATCAACTGACTAGTGATGTCATTCAATCAAAAATCTTACATGAATCCAGCCAAGAGTGAGCAGCTCATTGTTGTAGCAAAAGTCAAACAGCTCTTCTTCGTTTGTCATATTACACATATCTGATGTTCCCTTTGAAAATACACTTGGTAAGTAATGTAGAAGCAGAACGACTAAGAACTTTACTACCTCTTGTTTTGGAATGATGAGAGTTGTAACAATCAGCTTTTGACCATGCTTTGTAAATAGTGACAAAAATCAGGGAAAGCTTTCGCATGGATTCACACGATGTGCTTACCAATACACCGGCTAAAATGCCGCAAGTTTCAATCCCGTAGGGTGACTGGTTGGTATTTGGTGATGCTAGCACCGTGAATTGAGAAATAACACCTGCTGGTAGGTCAAGCGAGCGAATTTTTCCACTAAAAATTAGGTTAAGTACCAAATTTGTAAAAGCGTCTGCTATCAAAACCATAGACGTACCAAGTTAAGTTAGCAATAGCTTCTTGGGATCGTTGACGACTGAATGGTGGAGCCAAATAGTACTTGTAAGACTGTTGACCAGTATTAGCTGTCATACTGGAGACTTTACCGACAACGGGATACAAAACCGTTTGCCTGAGTTTCTGAATAAAAAACTCATATCAAAATTCAAGCATCTGTCCGTGAATTCTCAGATTCTACCTTCTGGTGAGGCCTCAGAGCCTTATGCACCCGAGAACGATTTCTTGTAGATTCAGTAATAACATGCACGTCATCTCTCTCTGCTACTCTTGCCGTCTGCTCATTCGGCCGCTCGACACTCTTTCTAAGCCTTATCGCCCGCAGTCTCTCTTCTAATCCCGTCATATTGGCCACGTCGGTCACGCTGTCTTGCCTCATTTTAAGTGAGTTCTCATACTCCAAATATTCGAGCTCTTCCGCCTCCATGCCATCTAAAATCGCATCAAAAAGTCTAGAACCGGCTTCAGCTTGCTACGTGCAGCATTAAGTCCAATTGTTAGACCATAACGGCACTCAAAACTTGGAAATCTTAGCATACCGTTTGCACCCATTCGCGTTCCTTACGATAACAGAGAAGATTATAGTGCTGATGAGCAGTGATTACTTTCGAGCAGATTCTGTAAAAAACAAATAAAAATGTTGGAAAATAGCATGTGGGACCAAGTCAGCCTTCTCTATACTGACAAGAAGCTCCAAGCTCGCTTGAGACTCACTTGATAAATTTGGCCAGAAATACGTAGCTGCAAATAAAATATCGAACAAAAGAGGCAAAACGGCAAGATGAAGTGAGCCATACCATCGGTTCCAACATTTAAATATTTTACGCACTGCGGTTGTACATACGCGTTATCCCAAGCATTCTGGGCAAAATACGTCTCAGACTGATGGTATAATTGGCGTGCCAAGCGGAAGTAGCTTTGGAGGTGAAGATGCTGCCTCACAGGTTCGATGCGACAAATTGGCGCTAGGTGCGCGCGCCGAGCTACTAACCGTTCACTGACGTCCATCACGACCGTTTTTTTAAGCGCACTTAAGCGAAATATGACTGCATATAATTAAGCGAAGGGTCAAATACAAGAATGTGCATAACAGCTAATTTGTAGGGATGCCTGTCTCGGTGAGTAGAAAAGTTTTGTCAAGTTGTTGGTACTTCGGAGCAATCGTGCAGGTGCTTTAAAAGCTGGTAGCATTTTTATTTTAAATATTTATAATACCGCACAATTTTGATGCAATTCCATGCAGTCAGTTAACTTTTGTTTAGCTTGTGTCTCTTTCGAAATCATCAGGAAGTCAATATGAAGAGGAATGGCGAGTTTTGTGAGCAATAGAATTATTTTTAGCCAGTTATGCCATTTGCTGGGTGGTCGATTGAGCGGGTTCTTTGGCAGTTCTGTCTGCAAACATTGCGTCTGAGTTCTAAATGTCCGCATAGTAGGGAAACAATGGAAAGGTTGTGACTCCAAGATTTGGCAATGTACTGAGGGTACACAAAGATTTAATCAATGATTGTTCGATAGTCCATGAGCATCTTGGTACACTCAATATATATGTATTTTGACTATACTCAAGTATCGTCAGCATTTAATGTTAATTGCTGATGTTTCTCAGACGCCACTGCTTCTTTAGAATTCGGTTCTACAGATTTAAAGGCGAATGACTTGCTTAACTTCACGCCAGCACCTAAGACGACGGATGATAGAATGTATTTTTGCACCAAGACCTACGGACTAGTTGATGATCTGGTCGCGACGTTGGTTGAAGCTCAGCTCAGGATGCAAGCTGATGTTGCTATCCAGCTAGCCTAAATTGACGGCAGCCCCGTTGCACCTACGGTGTCAGCATTTTTTGTCGTTAATATATCGAAGCCAGTGCTACCAAGTGTAACGAGAATTGCCGGTCCGTGCGCACAGACTTTCTGAGGAAGGCTTTGGTCAACCGACACGCCTCAACGCGTGTTGCTCGCTCCCAGCAAGCTGTAGACTTACGTAAAAAGGAGAAAGGTGAAGTATAGGCTTTAAGTCTCTCTAAATCTCCAGTTCTGATACAACAGAACTGAAAGGGGATATACAACTATGCAGGGTGTTCATTTAATATTTACAACACAAGTATGTGGTTCACACAGCATGTGTTATAATGGGTCTGGCCTATTACACTTTACAGTAGCGAAATTGCAATGCTCTGAGTGTTAAGCGTCATATTAGCCTTGTCCTCCCCTGACTATCCCTTGACCGATAGTCAAATGGAACGCGCTATAGCGTCGTGGGTTGCGTGACTAACGCGAAGCATGCTTGTATAGGTGCCACCTACCTCTATGAATATTTAAATTAATCTTTATGAGCACACAAGATCACAGCTGCGTGTGAATTGTTAAAGGAAGCGTAATTTAGATCATCGACCATACGTTTTTCACAAGAACCAGTACAAGTGTAGCGTATCGCAAATCGCTACCTCCAAGAGTAGTTAGGGCCTTAACCCAAGGCTAACAAACTCTTCTGTTTCAAATGTAAACTGCATTTATTTGTTTCATGTGCGGCAAAGCCGCCTAATTTTAAATTTATAGATTTTCCTAAATATATATAGTAAAATCTAAATACATGCATAAATACTGGGCTACCTGGCCACAAACCGTATTCTTATTTGGGTGTAGTCACACCATGCCCATCTCGTGTGACACACAGCCCTGTTACCAGGGTACGTGTAAACTCGTTACAACAGGCGATGGTCGTCCTCATATCAACAGGAATAAATTTTCGCTCCTTACTTATTCGCAATGGGAGTGTGTGGAGAGTTGCGAGCTTTAATCGGAAATCACGCTGTCTCCTACATGCTCCAATTGGGTCAAAAAGCGATAACTCAACGCTTACCAAATTTTGCTTCGTATAAGCAGATAATAGTTCCCGAATATATCGCCGCCGGTTCTGTCGTCTCCTCCACAAATGGTGGTAACACACGGAACGTCTCGTGAAAATCAACGTGAAAATATTTTATGGGAACAAAAACGAAAACCTTCCGTTTTGACAGCGAGAAATGGACATCGCTATCGCGATGGCTCAAATTCGTTATGACCGCAGTCAAGTGGTATTCGCCATGTCCTATTTGGATGGCCATGGGAGATGAAACGCCCTGGCCACTTTGCCACATGGCAAGAGTTGAAGAGGGCCATGGAATCGATATTTCGTCCGCCGAATGTCGCATTCTGACAGTGGTCGAGGTTTTTTATCATAGGTACATTGTATGACTATGTACAGAAGCTGGGTGAGCTTTGTGTCAGTATTGCAAGCAGATCACTGCCAGAGGCAGTGATGGTCTCTGTGTTTATAAAGGTACTCACTTATGGACCTCCTAAGACTTAAGTGTTCCGCCACTGTCCGACGACTCTGGAAGATGCAATTATGATTGTATTGCGTGAGGATTACTGTCAACGTCAAGCACGCGGTCTATCGGTCAATCCGATAAAGCAAGTGACTACTACTACTAGAAATCCAGAACGAATGGATCTTAGTGCGGTGACTGTCCGTAGATAGCAAAGTCACTGTTATTCGGTCACATCCACCGTGTTTGTCCATCTGTGCCGTAGCTCTTTGCTTAGAGGAAGCTAAGCTAAGGTCACCGACCTTACGTTGTTCTAAAGAACCAGTACAAGTGTAGCGGATTGCAAATCTTACCTAGGCAAACAAACACTTCTGTTCAGAACCGAAACTGTATTTAATTGTTTTAGTTGCGGCAGAGCCGCCAATATCTAAAGGCCTAGGTTTTCTTGATAAATAAAGTAATACCTTACTAATATAGCAAACCATAATTACTCTGGTAATGTGCATTACTACTGGCAATCCTGCCACATGGTGGCTTCCTAATGCGGTTTAGCCACACCACTGTGTGATTACACTAAATGTGTAATACACACCTATGTACGTCGCACAATCATGTGCGACCCGCCTTTTCTCACAACGGCACGTGTGACCCCGTTACAATCTGGAAGACGAACATCTCAACACAGTTGGCTCTGATCTACGTAGTACCAATATCACGAGGCGTTGGGGAAATACCGGTACCCTGGTGACGCAGGGCGGTCTACTGGGGAACTTAAACTCTCGTGAGTGAGGTAGTAGAATCACAAATGATGATTCAACCATTGATGAAATGCTGTCCTTTGTAAACGACGTGGTTTCCTCGTGGTCATCGCGAGTGTGAAGGGTTGCGGCCGTCTGTTTAGAGTCTGAATTGAAGCTGGCGTGTCGCGTAACTACGCGCAGAAGAGAGTGTTGCTGAAAATGATTCAGTGCTTTCGCGTGCACTAGATAGAAGCAACGGCTTTTTCTCAGTGAAGTTGGTTGCTGATTCGGTGGTCACCGCTAAAAAAAAATTTGTTGATCTTCAATTAAAGTTTGAAGACTTCAAATCGAGCGAAGGTTTACAGTCCTCGAAATCTACAATTATAATGACCTGATTTTAGGTATATAGTGGCTTGAGAAATACGAATCATGGATCGGTTGGTGGTCGAGACCGATTGGAAGTAGCTTTTCTGGCGTAGGTGACACTTTTGGATGTAATGAACCCACATTAACTATGCACCAGAAGTAGTGTTCAAGCGCTCGGTAGTCGTATGCTTCTGCTCCTGATCCACCCTTCATTGGTATATGTCATGTAATTTGCAATTCACAATATACGAAGTCGTATATAGTGATAACTGGTAGTCAACTAGAACGTGTGTCGATAGGTCAAGTGGTGTCCGCAACTGGCCACCTGGAAACGAGGTAATCGTTAGTGATCATGGCGATTCGCCCAACGGAAAGATATTATGATGGAGAGACGCCGGTTGTTGCCCCCCCAGAACAGACCCCTCAGAACAGAAAAATGTTGTCGAGATGTGTGTACTGGGAAGTCAATGGAATCGACTGTGACTTTATATACCGAAATTCCCATTAATACGGGCGTTGAGTCGAAATGTGGGTCAGTGAGTATAACTGAGCACAAAAGGGATGCTCCCACCCGTTGTTTGGTTGAGCACACACACGTGATGGAATCAGCGAAATTTGCTGGTAGCGGTACTGATACTCCCGCTCTGTATGCAATTGAGTCTGCGGGTGAGTAAGTCCAGAGTGCTTCATTCCATGATGAAAATGTAGCAGGCGAATATGATGATTCACGTATTGTGGATGCAATGACTCTTTTTGCAGTAACCTGAACAGAATCGTCGAGTCATACGAGATCAACAACTGATTAATATTTGTTGTCAACAAACAGCGGCGTTAGCAAAAAGGAAGACGAAGGGCTGATGTACAAGCAAAAAGCAAACCCCAAACATGTCCGCAGCGCACACTAGTATGACGTCTATAAATGAGATATATCGAACCACATGCAGAGCTGAAAAGTATTTCTTTGGCACAGTTGCCGGGGAAGAATGAACTGGTGTAGCTTGAAATAGTCAATGACGATGCCTTCCTACAAGAGCTCAAGTGTTGCGGGGGTCGTGTTGCTTAAGCCAAAGGTCGATATAGCAGAACTACGCTGATTCATAGTTATGGATGATTCGATTGTCGATAAATTTGATACCGTGTGAAATCACGATAAAGGATCTGCATTTTTGAATAGTGTGAACCCGCCTTTGATCTTCCATTCGAACGTGCGTTGATCACGAAATTGATCGTGAGCCTGGTCCAAAGGATGCAGTGGTCACTGTCGCGTGAGCAAACTGATTATTTTGATGGATTCTTTGCTCAAAAGCAAGCTGCTGATTTGGTGAGAAAAAAATAAGTACTCTCATAGCGAACCGACGTTATGTATGCGTCAAACAAATGGTAAAATACGGACAAGTTTTAGTAAACCGTCCGGTATGTTATGGGAGTGACTTGTAATGTCACAAGGACTATCCAATGCTTCAACAAAGGATAATCGGTCGGTTCTTCATCCGTTTCGACCACTGCAGAGTTTTGACAAAAAAAAATCTGCTCATTCGAAGGATAAAGATAGCAGGTATGCCGAAACAATGCACTTGGAGATTCATTGCAAGCGAAATTTGCAAAGTTTTTTTTGATGAACACGGTGCTTGGGTAGACCCTGACAAGGTCAAATCAATTCTGGAGTGGCCAACGCTACGAAACTAAAAGAATTTGAGCAATTCGATATAATTTCCAATTACCTGCATCGCTTCTCGCGTAACTACGCGGAAATGGTACGCCCACATTCAATCTTGCTGAAGAAGGGCTATCGTGGGAATGGTCGTCCAATTGCGAAGAATTATTCAATAAAATCAAGAACAAGGTGATAAAAGCACCATTACCTGCTCTTCCAGATGATGCAAAGCCGCAGATGCTGCGAAGCTGTACGGCGTGGCGTGTGATGCTTCTGAGTTTGCGTTCAGGCGTGCACTATTGCGAATGGATTCAGAAGGACACGATCGTGTCGTGTCGTTTCATTCGCAAAAGCTGAAGCCAGCAGAAAGAGCTACTTTGTCCACGGCAAGGAGCTCTTGGCCGTGATGTATTCTTTGATAAAGTTTCGTGTTCACCTCTTCGGTTCAACTTTGTCGTCTATATGGATCATGCAAGCTTGCTTAGTCTCCTCACTTGTCATAGCGGATGGTGCGCCCTCGCACAATACAATTTCACGGTCGCGTTCGATCCAGGGAAACTGAACGTGTTGGCAGACGCATTTGTCAAGTCGTCTTGATAATGAGCTAACCTATATTAGCTATATCGAAAAGATGTGTTCGATATGATACGTCGAGCATGTGTTAAAAAGTGTGATCTGATCATTAGCGTACTGTCATTGAGTGGCATGGAGCTCTTTGGCAAGCTTTCTAATC